GGGGGGTTGGTACCCAGGGAGGCCCTGTGAAGTCCTGGGCCACAGACCCTGCACAGAGGCTCTACCCCAGAGCCCTGTCAGGGAGTCCAGAATCCTCTGCTGGGCCACAGGCAGGCCCACTGCACACCTGGGCTGACAGCACAGGGGCCTGGTGAGAAGCACAGAAGTTAAGGCACACAGATGGCTGTGGAAGAGGCTGCTGGGGGACAGAGTGAATGGGGGTGGCAGGAACAGCAGCAGGGCCACTGGGCCATCTCCCCATGGCACCACCCATCCCACACCCTTCCACAAAGCTCATTGGGCTCATTCCCTCTGCACCTCATGTTCCACATCTGTAGAAGCCAATGAGCAGGTGCCTGTGAGGTTTAGAGTGTTCATAGCAAGTCCCAGGCCCTTAAGGAATGGGGCAACTGACTTGATTCTCATAGCCAACAACAAGTGCACTGCCCCTGTGCACCCAGCTGCTGCAAGCCATGCCCCCTGAGACCAAGTGAAATGCTTCAGACATGGGAGAGGGACACGAGGGGAGAGATTCAGTGCCCTGGAAACAGCAGTTGAAAGGAGAGGCCAGGACAGGGTTGAGGGAGAAGAAACTGCGCTGGGCCTGCAGCCACAGGCAGCTCCTGAGTTCTACTCTGAATGTGTCTGTAGAAGGGCAGCTGCCACCAGTTGGGACACCTGGTGGGCAAATGGGTCAGTTCAGTTTCAGTCTGCTGATCCGTGAGTGGACATCCAGGGGCAAGTATAAACAGACACGCACAGTAGCATCAGCACTGTTGATAGTCTCAGAAGCTGGTACTGGCCACAACGGTGGTGCTGGTAGACCCAGGTGTCCCTCCTCCCTGGCACACTTCTTCTGCCGCCTGATGCTCTCAGTTGCCCACATCATGCTGCCCTGGGCTAGACATCTGGATGATGTGGAGCTATGAAAACAGTCATCTGAAGAGCAGAGGTTCTGCAGGGCCTGGACAGCTGGCTGCACCCGAGATGATCTCATGGAGACACTCCCAGTGTATTTCCCAAGCCTGAGCAGGGGCACAGCTCCCTGGGGAAGGGCTAAGGGCCTGGAGCTGGCTCTAAGATGCCTCTCAGCTGCCTGTCTGCCCACGCTACATTCTGGACCTGCCTGGGACATTGTTTTCATCTCTCGCCTCTGAGACCCTCTCTCCTTCCAGTACAGGGACTCTAATATGCATGGAGGCATCCCCACCCCGGTACTCACACAATTCATGCCTATGACTTTAAGGCTTCCATTGACGAAGGTGATGCCCTTGTCCAGGCTATACTGAATCTCGACCATCCTAAAGCACAGAAATGGCAGATGGTGACTGCTCGCCCAGAGAGACACAGTTCTTGCACCTACTCCACTTGTACTGCATAGCTGTCCTCAATGTAATGACTGAACATCAGGCATGTGGTCCGCCGAGAGCAGATGGCATGGGACAGGAGAGCTCTCCCCAAGCAAGATGAGGTCAACCTCTGCAATGAAGGCTGACTAGGCCGTGAGGAGCCCTGCATGGGCAGATGCTGTGGTGGCTATGGGCTGTGTGACCAGGCTGGCTGCTTGGTGTCACCATCCAAACTCTTCCATATGACTATGTTGGCTTAGCTCTAAGAAGACTGCTTGGACCATAGGTACCATCCCTGGGGCCCATCATCTCCTGCATCCTGCCCTCCTTGGTAGCGCCTGGGAGACAGGGCATCACTGAGCCCATCGGGACCACAGGCACAGGTTGGTGCAGAGGATGTCCTGAGCCCTCCCAGAAGAGACAAGTGCAGCTCCTGCAGAGGTGGCATCCCCCACGCTGGACACATCGTGGTGCATAAATCTAACCACGTGGCCACCCTCTTGGGGCACTTACTCTCCTTCCTTCTGAAATGTATGGGCAGGGCAAATTACGAACTCCGAGTTCACCTCGATGGGTTCTTTTTCTAGGAGAAAACCAGAGAGAGTCATGTGAGTGGGCATATCCCCACAGCCATGTCTCCCCTCCTGTCTGCCTTTGGCAAGCAGAGCTGCATCTCTGACAGACATCAGCCTCCGGGGATGGATTACTTCCTGGTATTTCTGTTATTTTGCGGGAACACGGGAGGTGACACTCAGGACACTAGAGGCTCCATAACTAGTAGCTGCGACATCATCTCACCACTGAGCACCGTTTACATTCTGATCTGTGACTCCTGGTCAGGGCTGTTCCCTACAGATGGTTCTTTTCCATGAGGACCAGCTTTGGCCCTGACTTGGTTGTCAGACTAGCTATGACCTTTCAAACTATATCACTCTTTTCCTGTAGAGACTCAGGAGAACTGGGGCTGCCTCTGCTCCCCTCCAGCAGACACTTGGATTTGGGTCCTTGTCTCTCAAGGGAAGTGAGAGCCCAGGAAAGGCAGGGGGATGGCAGCTCTGAGGGCAGACCCCGCCCCACACCCAGCTGGGGCTCAGGGAAGGCTGCTTCTAGGTGCACGATGGTTCTGGGGATGGATTACTTCCTGGTATGCGTGGCAGGTGTCCAGGCTCCCAACCTTCCCTCCTTCTACTTGTCCATGTGGCCTGTACCCTACAGGGGCCACAGTGAACGGTCAGCAAGGGCTTTGAAGGTTTGGCTCCCTGAGGGCCAGTAAGCCTGCTGTGGGGCTGCTGTCACTGGATGCACAAAGGGGGCCACTTACCCACAACACCAGTGTCCCCTGTGATTCGACAGATGATGTCATCTCTCTTGTCAGTTAAACCCGGCCCATAAAAATCAGCAGTGAAGGGGTCTGCAAAGGGAACATGCAAAGAGGTCTGTGTGAGGAAGGGCTCAGTGCTGTCTTCCCTCAGATCTCAATTATGGCAGGCCACCCCAAAAACAGAATTCCCAAGGGACCCCTATGAGGAAGCAACTGTATTTGAACTAACGTCTATATAATCCTCAGGGCCAGCTGTCCACCTGGTGCCACTGAGGTTCTCCTCTCAGGAGCCTGGGCTGGGCCTTGAGCCCTCGAGGGGCCCCTCCTCACTGCCCATGACCCATGGCACCCAGCCTCATCCCATTAAAGGCACCCAGCCTCATCCCATACATAGGGCAAAGCCCACCTTGCTTTTCTGACCTGAAATACCTAAAGGGGGCAAGCCCAGCCTTATAAATGAGAGAGGAGTCAGACACTCAGACTGAGCCAGCTCTGCCTCAGGCCTACGTGAGGACCCTCGCCCAGTGTGTCCCCTATGGAACTTCCACCGGGGCGCCTGTTCCCTCCTCAAGTTTCTCTGTGTCTGTGGCAGACTGGAGACCTGAGAAGCAAGGCCAGACTGGAGTGAGGCCCTCAAGGGGCCCAGGACCCTGCACTGGAGAAGCCCAAATGGGAGGACACGTCCCATCTTGGCAGTAATTCCAGAAGTCTGCAGCTGACTGCTCTTCCCCCTGACTCTTCCTGACCCTTTGTGGACTGCATCAACTTAGCTAAGATTCACAATACTTCCTTCAGCCAGGGTGGAAGACACAGATATGCGAAGGTGCAGTTTGGGGCTCTAGCCCTTCCCCAGGGTGCTCGGACCCCCAAGTGACTCCCGGTCCCTGAGCAGACACCAGAGGATACAGAAGGGACAACTGGTGGCCCAGCCCCAGGGAGTGAGCCAGGATACTATGCAGGCATTCCTGCTGCAAAATCAAGGGCCTTAGACTCCACCACTCCCTCTCAGGCCAGGCCTGGCCAGTTCCAACCCGATGCCTGATTGCCCAAGGTTCGTTAACTCGAGGAACAATTCCTCAGGTGCCCGTGCAACCTTGGACTGGGCAGACCTAATTCCTCCTGCTTTGGGGCTTCCTCACCCAGCCATCAGATCAAAGTGAAGCTTGCAAATTCTCTGCAAGGCTGAGATATAAACTAATGAGTCATATTAGTATGGACAGGGAAGGGAAGATTCAGCTGCCTGCACGTGGAGTGATCAGGCTCTGCATGAGAAACAAAAACAAGTATGTCTTTGCCGCCACAGCCGGGAGTCAGAAGGAACCACAAGCCAATTAATTGCTTCAACTCGTGTGTTCATCTAAAAGGACATTTCCCTCTAACAGACCATCTACTCCGTCCCATTCTGTACACTTTCTCACTTAAACCTACAAACACCCGTGAGCTAGGCATTACTACCCCAACATTACAGAGATAGACTATGGGGTCAGGATGGGGCAGGTGGCTTACACCCAAATCCTGGCAGGCATAGGGCCAGGATCTGATCTCAAGTGCCCAATCCATGACCACATAGGATGCCACCTCTGCTCTACACCCATGTGCATAGCTATCATGCAGCTCCTCTGGGGACAAGCCCCTGTGACACTCTGGACTCTAGTCTTCAGCTCACGGGGCTGTGAGTCCTGAGCTTGAGAGGCCCGAGAGGGGACCTGGCCAGCCTCAGCCTCATGGGGAAGGTTGGAGGGCTTTTATAATACATTCTTTCTGGTTTTTTAAAGACTAATTACACTATACTTACTGTGCTATTTCTTTTGCAATACATGTGTGTCAAATCATTATGTGGTATACCTCAGTTTATCCAGAGCTGCATGTCGATTATGTCTTAATAGTATTGGGGAAAAAGTCATTACACACACACACACACACCCCACAACCCTTGACATATACCCTGCAAACTAACACATGTTAATATACACCCAAAGCACACCCATTTGCCCTACAAACTTCCATGCAAGTACCCCTCCTATCTATACCACACACGTAGACTGCACAGTCCACTCATACCACCCCACACCGCACACATGCATGCAGACCATATGCTCATGCCATACATGGGAGCATCCCCGCACTAGCCCTAATAACACCCATATACCACCCCAACACAACACACTTGCACACTTCAACACAAACTTCCCCTGCAAATGTAAACATAACACATACTCATACACCTTCAAAACACACACACACACACACACACACACCCTTCTGTCTAGAACAGTGGCTCCAGCCCTTACCTCCCACACAGTACGTGTAAGCTTCCTCACCCGTAATATCATTACAGGCATTCAGCACGAGCTGAAAGAGAGAGGGATGGCAGGTTCAGGGACAGTGACTGGCAGGGGCATGGATTAAAGCCACCCCTTCCCCCTGCTCAATTTAGGTGCACACTTACTGGGAAAACAATGTCCTGCAGGGATGTATAGCCTTTGGTTCCATATACTTGGTTCTTCCTCTCCACGATACTATCCAGCTGCAAGAGAGAGAAGATTTCATGGGCCCACAGCCAGGGATTGGTGACTCAGAGGTGGCCATTCCAGGGGACAGTCTCTTGCCTCATGCCATGTTAGGCACCAAGGGCCAGACCCTGGCATCTGCCAGCAGCCCACCCTCAGAGAATGGAAAGTTCTTCCACCGTCACCTCTGTTGTGTGTTTTACATAACGCTTTTATTTTTTCTGCAGGACCATCTGCTGTGCAGACACTTGGGGTGGGTTATAGGCCCATCTTCTGGGCAACCCTGTGAAAGCCACCTTTGAAACCTTTTGCCAGCTAGACTCACAGATGGCATCTGGTTACTTGTTCATAATTACCTGGTCTTTAGAATAATCATTTATTCCAACGAGGTATATCTTGGCCCCATAATTCTGAGTCGCCTTAGCCTAAGAGAAAGAAGACCTTGAGTACAAAATACCCAAACACCAAACATAGGGAGCACAGTGCTGGTAGGACAGACTGGACTCACTTCATTTTTAGTCTCCTGAAGGGCCGTTGGTGACAGCTTCCCAGCCACCAAAGCAACAACCAGGCTGATGATGTTGTAATCTGCAGGAGGAAGAGTGGCCACACGGGTTGAAGGGCTGGGGGTCAGCCGCCACAGGCTGCCAGGGTCCCGGCACTGCTCCCCACACTCACCCTCCTGAGGAGCGGACACCCAGACCCGAACAAATGCCATCCACACCCCTGGAAGGCTGCGTAGCTTATTCCTGGGACAAGAAGGGGCCCTAGCCCAGAACACACTTTGCAAATGAGGAGACTGAGCCCAGCTCAGGGTTCTTCTTACAGAACTATCATTTCTACCAGACGATACAACCTTTGCCCTGAAAGTTAACTCCAGCAATTTCACTGGATGAGCATAGCCTTCCATGAGCAAAGGCAGGAGCAGGCATACCACACCCACCGTGCAAGATTCCCACAGGTCCGTGCAGGCCTGGCCCAGCTCCAGACCTCAGCTGTGGCACTCCTGCAGCCATCTGCAGACCCAGGTTCAGGGCACGAGGTAAGAGGCACTTGGGCAGCAGACTCCCCACCCAGCTTTTCCTTGGGCCCACACATGTTCCTAGAGCCTATAGTCAAGGGGAAGATGGTTCTGGGCTGGGCACAGCCTTTTCCACTGTGGGAAACACTGAGCAGGAGCATCAATGAAAGGCAAGGAGGTGAAGAGAGGAGTAGTCAGGGTCAGGGCCAGAATGTTTGGGCGGCAAGGGAGATGATCAAGCTGTCGTCTTAAACCGGAGCCCCTTTGGGTTTTCCCATTTCCTCTTCATGCAGCCCTACTCCAGGGCCAGCACCTCATTTCCTATGAGCCAAGAAGGTACACACATGACCCATGTTGTGCCGAGAAACATCGCTAGGAAGCTGCAGCTCAGGGCAAGCAACTAGCTCCAGGAGTCAGTGCCTGGGTGTGGCTGGAGAGGGCCAGCCCCATACCTCACTGAGGCCTAGGCCTGGCTCTGTCCCCAGACCTGACTGCAAAGAAGTCACCAGGCAACTTACCTTCCTGGTAGTATACCCTCCGGATCTCCTCTTTTGCCTGGAACACAAAGAAGGAAAATGGAGGTGGGGGGGGGGGGTGTGAGAAGATCCCATGATCCTCTAAGAGCTTGATAAAGCAGAGCCAATTCTCTGAGCTCTAGAGTTTATACCTTTTGAAATCCCTTGTGAATATTTGGGACTCCTCCAGGCACTGTAGACTCAAGTTGCTTCAAGCCGGTTTGGATTTTATTGCTGAAAAAGATCAGAGCAGGTGGGAGCTGGAATGAGGACTTGCCTTTTACAGAGAGTCCCGGGCTGTCCTGGACCCCCTGCACCTGCAGACCCACCCAGATGGGAGAGGGCCAAGTAGCCCTGTTCCTGCCCTTCTGCCCCATGTCTCTGGCATTGGCCAACCTAGTTGCCACCTTCCCAGTGCGCCATCTCATGAGCAGGCTGGGGAGGGGACGCTGCTTTGCTGGTCCCAGGGTTATGGCCAGGCTTTCTCTGTGCTCAGCACTGTCTCACTCCGTGGAAATGCCTTGACTGTGCATGGTGAGCATGGGGACATCCCGACTGATCCCATCACAGTGTGACTGGCAGCACGGCTCGGCCCCAGGGGCCCCTGGGGAGGACACTGTCCTCCCACATGCCAGGCTGAGCTTGGAAAGGTCATCCTCATACCACTGGCCTGTCCCACCCTCCCGTGCGTCTGTCCCCTGAGGTGACTCAGTCCCCCCAAGGCATTCCCCTTCTGGATGGGTGCTTAGGAGGTAAGAAGCTGTGGAATTATAGGCCTAAGGCTGCTGGACATCAGCTGCTCCCAAAGAGCAGAGCAGAGGCTGGGGAAGTGGCCCTGTGGGCTGTCCATGCAGGTGAAGGCATGGAGACCCTCAGACTGAGCCCTGTTAGTGCAGACAGCTCAGGTTGGCACTGGGACTTAGGAGGGCATGGGGAACCTACATCAGGCTGACCCCGTGTTACGAGGTGCGCTGGCACAGCAAGGCTAAGGACAACATGGGCCCTGAAGACTGGGTTCACGCAATGGCAGGAGAGTTGCTGCCCAGGGGTGAGATCTGAGGGCCCTAGGTCCAGCACTGCCCTGTCCAGCCCAATGCAAACACCCTCTCCTCCTCTCCCCACAGTTTGGAAGATCCACAAGGAGATCTCCCACTGGCCACCTGCATTCACCAATATGCCGCCCCTCTGAGCCCACCCCAGTCCCTGCCCAGGACCCACCTCCCCTGGCATCTCTTGTCTGAGCTGGCTCTCCCCTGGGAGAGCTGCCCCTCCAGCCCTGCTCCCAGTGTTTTTCATGAAAGGGGCACCAGGATCCTGATGCCCTATTAGGACCACCTCCTCTTAAAATAACACTCTCCCAAAGACACGGGGTTTCACATTCCCATTCCTGGGCCCATTCCTGTCCTGAACACTATCCAGGAAGTGTGCTTCAACCTCACGTCCCAGAGAGGGTCACAGAGGTCCTCCATGAGCCTACCCATAGCTTCTCTAGTTTCATGGGGCCTGGGTGGTAGTGTCCTCCTCCCCCTATCTGGTACTTGCTCCTCCGGAAGCCCAGGCCGAGCACCCTTGCCTCTCTCTGTCTCTCTGTCTCTCTCCCTCCTCTGCCAGAGTCCCTCCAGTGGAACGGATTTCTACTACCTCAAACCCACACAGGTCTGTCTCCCCTACCTGCAAACCATGTGTAAGCATGGTCACCCAGCCCACAGAGTGCGCGTGTGCTCCCTGCTCCTCAGGGTCAGACCTGGGAGTGCTGTCCCCATGCCCTGGCGCCACCAGGCTCCCTCCCCCGAGGGCCGGCCATCCCTGCTCATTCTGCTCCTGGCTTCTTCCCAGTGCCACAAGTCCTGAGACTCTCTTTGGTAATCCACCCACTCTCAGGTGGGTTCTAGTCATTTGTCTCCATGAGAAACTTAACCTCCCAGCACTCAGAAGCTCCACAAACTTACCACATCCACCTGTGACCCACCTGGGATGTGGGCCCATCTTGCCTTTTTCCAGCCTGGCATTCAGGATCCAGTCCTTCAGATCAACTGACCACTGGGAACATGCTCCCCTCCAATGAAGCACCAACACTTGGACACCACCCATCCCTTCCTCCCTTGTTCTGATTCTATCTCCCTCTTTACCCAGTGGCGCAGGGCAGAGAATGACACACAACAGATGGTGCCCAGCAGTGAATATAAAGGACCTCACCTCTGTTCCACCCAATCCCGGGAATCCTCACAGCTTGTTCTAGTGAAAGGGTCGAGCGTGGAGGGAAGGACTGAGGGCAGATGGAGGGCTGGGCTGAGAGAGGAGGAGAGTGTCTAGTAGGATAGGATTCAGCCAGTGTCAGGCCTGGAAGGGTCCCTGGGAGCCAGGGAACGAGGGCTGTCACGGTGGGCGCTGAGTGCAGCCCAGGCAGCCCAGCTGGGCCCCCCACTGCAACCTCAGGGAGCCCCTTGGTCCTCTGGCTGTCCTGTGGCCTGGCCTGCTGGCGCTGCCTTAGGGAATTGAAGCATCACTTACCTGTCCGAGGTGAGAGGCATGAGGGTGTTGGCATCTGTTCCAAAGGTTATAAAAGATATCCTCAGTTTTGGGCTGGGGAGGAAGCATGGGCTAGTGTGAGGCCATAATGACAGGCGAAAAGATGCTAAAGACTAGCTGGAGAGGAGAGGTGTGCATGTCTATTTCCCTGCTCCCCATGAACTCCTCTGTTTGGGGGCCTATTTTCCTCCAAGCTCTGGAACTTCCCATAACTTTAGTGAGAAGTTCTGAGCCCTGTAAGATGTGTTTCCTCCCTAGCAAGGAGTACCAGGATCGCATCCTGCTCCATCCCTATCCTGCTCAAAAGTGACACGCATGCACACCATGCATTCACAAGGAAATGGATGCCTACACACCCCTGCATGAGGTTTCCCACGGACCTCTTTTCTACTGCAAAAGTCTTGACACACTCACCACCCTTCCTTCCTCCCCACCTACTTTTTCTTCTCCTTCTCATCTCCAAGAAATCATTCTCCCTCTTGGTGGCCACTCATATCACATCCCTCCATTTTCTCTCCATGGCCACTCTCTGGTGCCCTCACCCTCATCTCTTACTTAAATTGCTACCATAGATCCCTAGCTGAGCTTCCTAGGGGTCCTGGCTTTTGTCCCTGTACATTTTACCCTCAACTGTGGAGATTTTTTTCTTGAAGCATAGGTTTGACCATGTCAGACCTCTGTTCAAGAATCATCCGTAGCTCTCTGATGCTCACAGAAGATATCCAAACCCCTCAGCCGGGCATTATGAGCCTCTATTGCCTTGGCCCCAGGCTCACCTGTGGAGCATCACCTCCCAGCCCTCCAGAGTCAACCCTGTGATCTGCACCACTCACTACACAAGAAGTCTCCTTAATGATGCCTGTTACTCTGTCTTCCCCATTCTTCAAGAACTAGTTCAAGTTTCCACATGCTGTGGGAGGCCATCCTTGATTTCTTTCCCTAGTTATTCTTGCTTTGTCTTTTGTTACCATGGCAAGACTCTGTCCCTTCATTTTTGCCCTCACCACCATTTAACCAAGTGTTGGGTTACTGAGTTACTGGTCAGCCTGACTTGACTTCCTTTCCCACCCTGTAAGGACCTCAAGGGCAGACTGTGTTTCCTGCAAAGTGGCCTAACTCCCAGGCAGGAGCCAATGAAGCTGCCAAAACCCAATGGGCCCAGTGTGATCTTCCTTCTTTCCCACTTAAGGATTCTGTGCTCCTGACCCGAGGGCCTCCCATGTCCATCAAGCCTAAGCAGCTGTGTTGCTGCTTGGCACAGGCAGACCCCCTACAGCATGAAGAGGCCATACTTTTGGAACTTCTGCACGAATTCCTCTGTAAACTGGTGTATAGCCTTCCAATTTCCCTGTGCGTTTTGTGACCTGAAAACAAAGGAGACATGAGTCCGAGGGGTTGAGAATTCTAAAGCAGGCTCTTTGCCAAGCTCCTCCCCGTCCACAGAGGTGAAGCTGGTCATGCACACTCAGCAACATCTGGGTCCCCTGGTGGTGACTGATCAGTGTGAGGGGAGGCAGGGTGGCAAATCAGATACTTGTCCTCAGGGATGATGGGCTTTTCGTGGCAAACCAGGATGCTTGGTCATGGGTAGGTGAGACTATTATGCAAGGATTGAGAGAAGATGTGTTGGTTGGAAAACTCGTTCTGATTCTGATTCTCTTGGCTCTCCTGGTCTGTGCTTCCCCTTGGACTGTCCATTCCCAGACGTTTCCTCCAGTCCTGCCCTTTTCAAGGGTTTGAGGGGGGCAGGACATTTGGCACCATCCTCCATTATGAGCCTTTTAGAAACTCAGAAGCCTCAGGCTCAGAGGCTAACCCAGTCCTGTCCAATAATCCCCTGCTGGATCTCAGTTCTTGGGCATCACACTATGTCAGCGTGCCCCCTTAGCTTGGGAGTCCATTTGGAAGTCCATATGTGACATGGCAGTACTTCCTCCTGATGCACCCAAATTCTGCTCCCTCCACCATTTTCCCAGCACCCACAGAGGCACTGAGAGTCATTCTCCAAAGGTGCCTGCTCCTCAGGCCAGGGAGGATGTGCTACTCAGGCTATTTATTTCCCTTCTTAGCAGTCTACAAAGCAGAGCCTTTCTGGACAATAAAGGTTTTTCCAGCAGCACTGCCAGGGACAGGCAGGAGCAGGCAGGGGCCACTGCTCTCCTATCACTGTGCGGTGACTGGCAGGGAAGCCACAGGCCCTTCCTGTCCCTACTGTCAGATTTTCCCTCCTATCAGCTCCCACTTGATGGAGAGTGAGGATGCTGAAGCGGGTGGGGGCCTCATGGCCTCTTCTGTCTAGGTGGGAAGTGTGTCCACGAGCCCTACTTGCCCAGGGTTCAGAGGTCTTAGCAAACGCTCGTCTGTGTAGGTCTGCTCTTTCCAGGTTATGGAGGGCAAGCTCCCTGACTGAGGATTCTGGTCAAGATTCCATGGATGGAAAGGGGAGTAACTAAGTATGGTGTCCTTGGGCTCTTTCCGTAGAGCTGTGATGGTTGATGTCCTTTGTATATCATACGATTTAGAAAAACCCGCAAAGAGGTCCTTCTCTGATGCCCATAAACATTTTGAATGTCACGTATACATGTGAGATTCCCACAGACACAAGGGCATCCTTCTCTTTACATTCCTTCCGTTTTTCTAGGCTGCATCTAAAACTGTCAACAGAAGGTGAGAAAACTAAGGGTTGAGAATTCTAAAGATGTCAGGATTATCCTTAGAGTATGTATAAACCAGGTGCATTCCATGAATGATTGCTATTTCCAGAACAACCCAGTTATAACTCCCTGTTTCCCCCTCTCTGAGGCAGGGGTCCCCTTGTGCCACTTCATAGAGCTGTGACCCTGGGATAGGCATACCCTGAGGGGCACTGGGGCCAGGGTGGGAGGGACACTCACGCGTCGAGGATGATATACATGTCGAAGGCAGCCTCACAGGGTTTCAGCCTCTTCTCCTCGGGCGGCCTTTTGTCCTCATAGATATTCCTCCAGCCTGAGGGGCTGTACGAGGATTGTCCTGTGCTCAGCAGCACATGTGGCAGCAGGAGCAGCAGGAACAGGTGAGGGGCCGGCACCCAGGGGCACCTGCTCCTCACTTCCATCGTCTCCTCTGTCACTCTCCTCTTTCCTGAGGTGGTGAGGGATCAGAGCAGTCAGCACCTGTTCCCCTCCGCCCCAGCCCCTGCCTCTGCCAGTGCCCAGGGGCCTCAGCCCCTCCCGCCCTTTCACCCAGGCTCCCTGCCCTTGCGAACATCCACCTGTACCTGCTGTGGCAGAAGAGGTAAGCGTTTGGCGGGGGGGAGAACACTAGCCAAAGGCAAGGAGCTCCACTCCCTGAGTGGCCCTTACCCCAACCTGCAGACACTATTACTTGTGTTGTCCCTTATGATGTATGGGAGGTTGGCATGGTGACTTTGTGACCTGTGACTCAGCTCAGAGTCCTGCCTATTGGTAACTCCACGGTGGAGTCATAGGGTCCTTTTAGGGGCAGTAAGATAAGGCCTCCATGTGTCCCTTATCTCAAGCCCTCATAGGCAGCCTTTTAAATCAGAGGAACCCTGACTTTTTTGGCATACTGAAAGAGGGCAGCTCAGGTGGCTTAAATAAGGACATCACTGTGTGAGAAGAGATAGGAAATGGGATACTGGAGTGCCGTAAAGGTCGTTCATGTGAACACAAGTCACCCAAGGGACAGAAGGATCTAGAAAAAAAGGTTGTGCAAGCCTGCCAGTGTTCTCTCTGAATGAGGGACATTCCAGTTATCTACTGTTGAGTACTGAACCATCCCAAAGTCAGTGACATAAAATAGAACCATTTTATATGCTCACAGGTTCTGTGGAGCAGAAATTAAGACAGGGTTAAGGTTGGGGGAATGGTTTCCATCTCCATGGAAAAACATGGGCAACATTTTTCCAGAATTCAGACTGCCATCCATGTAAAAGTATTTAGAAATGCCTCAAGGAATATATTTGGTTTTCTTTACTTTTGTATGCACAAAATAAGATGTGATATATGCTCAAAATTTTTCTCTAATAAGTCTAAAATAGATCTTTCTATATATATAACAAAAATTACAAGCCATAAACACATTGTGTTGGTGGGATTTTGTGTGTGTGTGTGATGTATTTAAAGTAACCGGGTATATTAAATAGAGGTTATTTTGGATTTGATGGAATTATTCATCTCTGATTAGCATATTAGCTTCTCCTTCAAACACTTTCATGACACTTGGTTTTGTCATATTTGGATATTTACCTACTGATTAGACATTGAATTGTCATCTTAATTTGCATTTCTTTAATTACTGATGGTAAAGAACTTCCATTCACATTGATGCCAGGGTTCTTGTTTGCGGAGTCCAAGAATGAACTTAGCAAACAGTCAAGGTAGGAGTGCCAGGGAGAGGCTTTTATTTAGAGATACAGTGAGAAAGTAGAGCTCCTGGCTCACACCAGGAGAGTCCATAGTGGTGCATTGTCTAGGGGATTTTTAGGCAGTTGAGAGACAAAGGGCTAGGGATGAAGATCCACCAGATGGTCTCTAAATGTGTAAAGAGACAGTAAGTTTCTTATCAGTCTTCCAGACTATTTTGTAGAGTTAATATAAGAAATTTATTGCTTTGATCCTTTCTCAGAGTAGCAGTTTCTTGGTTTGGGAGTATTATCAGTCAAGGCTGCTTGTTTTGCTTTCAAGGTGAGCTGAGTTACTGACTTGATTAGGGGCTGGAGGAGGAAAAGCAGCATCTGAGTAAAGTTAAAGATAAAATGGCTTTTTAGCAGACTAAAGTAAATTTTACAATGGCTTGATTTAATTGATACAAATAAGACATGGGCTATGCTGAGGTATTTGCTTGTCTGGGAGATGTTCGAACATTGTAGGCTAAGTTACTCCTGGCTTTTTAGTTTTAACTAATTTTCACTGAAGAATGCTTATATTCCTAGTTTGGTATTTTGCTTTAGAGAATTGATGTGACCCTGTCTTTAATTGTTTAATATGGAGTTTTTGTAGCAGTCTTTTTCCAGAAGCCTTCTGATTACACCCACCATCCCTGTCGCAACATGATGTTGGGTCCTTCCTTTTCCCTGGTTTGGAAAGTACTTTTTCTTACCTGTATCCATTGTCTGATTCGGGTTTTTCTCTTTTTCATATTGATCCCTTAGCATTCCTTACGTACTCAGGATACTAATCCTTTACCAATTGTTGGAACTGTCTTCTTGCAACACATGGCTTGTTTTCACTCTGTTTATTGCTTTTGCAATAAAGCAAAAGTTCTTGATTTCGATTAAGTTTACTTAACATACTGAGACAGGGACCGTGGATGTAGTCAGCGTAGGGTGAGGGCCTCCGGAGGGGGCAGGGCAAGATATCTGCAGTCAGAGCAATGTAACTACATGCAAGGAAACCCCCCTGCTAAAACTCTTTGTTAAACATTGAGCTCAATATGTGTGTGCAAATTAGTTAGTAGTTTAAAACCTATACATACTTAAGGTACTATACAAGAAGATATGTCAAAGAAATAATCAATCCTCCCAAGTTTCCTTCATATGCTACATCTATAGCTTTTCTTCTTCCTTCCTAATTACAAACCTTAAATAGAATTCGTGCCTCATATCGAATTTACCGAGTATCATAATTCCTCCAGGTGGTAAAGATACCTCGAGACAAGTGCTGGGCATAGAAGCCACAGGGCATAAATCTGCAAAGAAGTAAAAAGCTAACCTTTGCAAACAATATGGCTTCTCTCTCACTTACCAACTTTACATTTCCCTGTATGGCCCCGGAAGATGACTGGTTAGCCAGAGACGGGTAAGATTCCTCAAGGGAGGAACAACCTAAGACAGGCACAGTCGCAGGGGGGCCATCAGGTGAGAATTTGGGGATCAACAGAGGTGAGGCTCAGAACCTCACCCCCCCTGCTTTGAGAGAAATCTTCTGCATCCGTGGATGTCTTGCTGCCCTTGTCTAGCCTGGATTAATACTTAGTCCATAGGCACACACCTGATCATCTGATCATCTACATTTGCCTTCTTACAGCACTAAACTATGTTTTCTACCTTTATCTTGCATCTACCTACCACTTCAGCATTTTATTAAAAATAAAAATAATAATAATAATAGGAGAAATGTGGGATCAACATATAAATCAAGTACAAAAATCAAATGAATATTCATATTTGACCTGAT